CAGACCACCATTCCCTTCTTGAGTCTTCTTATGAGTTTCCCCTCCTTAGTTACTTACAAGTATAGAGTACCCTAATTCCCAGGAAAAGCTTCTCCCTCTGGAAACATTCCCCTTCATCTCATTATCTCCAGTTGCTTATCATTAAAAACACTGTAGCTTCTGTTTAATCTCCCACTGGCACTATCAAATTATATTATAATCTCCTCTTAGCAGGATATTGTTTTGAAATATTAATACAGACTTTCTTCCAATACTCACATTCTCCATATTTTATAGTCTTTGCCTTTCTTTCATTTAACCATCAGAAGTCTGTTTTAAGGAGGGGCACCACATTAAAATAGAGGATATGCATTTTCATAGAAATTGTTTCAATTTGGAATTTATCTGAAGTGAGAAATTAGCTTTGGGGACCTAAAGATTAACAATAGATCAGGGGGTTAAGGGGTAGGAAATCAAAAGTAACCAATAGATTAGGGAGAAGAGAGTAGAAGTTAATTCTGGTCATGAAAGATTCTTCAGTTATGTGGTTAAGAAGGAAGAAGAAGCCGGGCGGTGGTGGCGCACACCTTTAATCCCAGCACTCGGGAGGCAGAGGCAGGCGGATCTCTGTGAGTTCGAGGCCGGGCTGGACCGATAGCCTCCGAAACAATACAGAGAAACCCTGTCTCGTAAAAACCAAAAAAAAAAAAAAAAAAGAAGAAGGAAGAAGACGACGAAGAAGAAGAAGACGGCGACGAAGAAGAAGACGAAGAAGAAGAAGACGAAGAAGAAGAAGACGAGGAAGAAGAGGAAGAAGAGGAAGAAGAGGAAGAAGAGGAAGAAGAAGAAGAAGAAGAAGAAGAAGAAGAAGAAGAAGAAGAAGAAGAAGAAGAAGAAGAAGAAGAAGAAGAAGAAGAAGAAGAAGAAGAAGAAACGAGAGATGGCATCCTCCAGTAGGGCTCAAGGACAGAGACCAGTCATGGCTTTTATTTAAAAAAGTATTTTTCCGAGTCTTTGCAATGTCATCCCTAGAGGAGAGGACACAAGTCTGACATTCTCTGAAAGATAAGTCCTTATAAAAATATATATGCGTGATTATGGGTCAATGATTAAGTCAGAGCTAGCCAATTAGAAACCATAGCAAACAACCAACAGCTTTATGTATACAGTGTTTTGTCTGCATGTATCCTTACAGGCCAGAAGAGGACACCAGATCTCATTACAGATGGTAGGGACCCATTATGTGGTTGGTGGGAATTGAACACAGGACCTCTGGAAGATCAGCTAGTGTTCTTAACCACTGAGCCATGTCTCCAGCTCCAGCTTTATAATTAATATAGTGTCTTGTGTGTTATTTGGGGGCTAAAGCAGCAACGGGACCCAGGCAGAATCCCACAACAATATGGTGCTGACAATGTGGGTATTAAGAACTTCCACTTAAAACTTGACAAAAGCTTAAAAAGGGATTTTACAATCAAAAGAACAGAGGCAAACACAGCTTCTTGGTAGCAGCATTTTTCTCAGGTGAGCTCTGTTTTGTTTGAGACAAGCAGAGTTGTATGCGTCTCCTTTAAGGGAGTCTTCTTGACTCAACAAAAACAGAAAAACTGCAAGGATCTTTTAAGAGGCTATGCTAACAATTGACTGGTGTGTACATGCAGCTGGCAATGGCAGTAACCACATCTCCAAGCTGGCACCATGCTGCTTGATGCCAGAATAGGCTAAGGCTGTGAACACAGTTCCCAGTGCTGGCTGCAAACTTAAGCCCACCATGTTGGGAAACCTGCAGGCTGTTTCCATTTTAACTTTAGCAGTGTTGTTTAGCAGATAGCAGACACGTGGCCAGAAAAACATAAAGATTTACAGTAAAGTCAGATTCAAATGCAACAAAACCTCTAAAGGTTTATAGTGTGTTTAAAAATATATGTAGGCTTCGGAGAGAAAAAGAAACAGGGTATTGAAAAAAATATAAACAAAGAGTAGCTGGGTGTGGTGGCACACGCCTTTAATCCCAGGACTCCTGAGGCATAGGAAAGAAGATTTCCACAGAGAAACCCTGTCTCAGAGAAAAAGTAAAAAGTAAAAGTAAAAGATATAGAGTAATATAAGTCACATAAAGATGGGAAATACACAGAGAGTCTGGATACTGTATGCTATTGTGTTTTTCAGTTGTCCAATTGCTAAAAAAAATAAGAAAACAACTGCTGAAATATACTTGATTATAAATGTTGCTGAATTAATCCAACTTATAACTTTTGAAAATGCTTTAGCTCCTAAATTTAAATATAAGGACATGTTACTTGGGAAAAGAGTTTTGTTTATGTTTCCACAGAAAATGGAAAGCTGTGGATTCCTTCCAGGCTTCTGTGGTTTGATGAACCAAGACCCCTGGAAGTAGTGAACCAGGTGATCCAACATCTAAAACAGCTGAGATGATGCAGCCTTGCAGGCTACAAAAACAAGGACTTATACAGGTTTCCGTGTTTTGTTATGATCCCCATCCAGCAGGAAGCAGTTTGGAATGACTAATGCCCAAATTCCCAAATATTGTTTAAATGTTTGTTTTCATTTATACAAGGTTGTTTATAAATGGTAATGATCACATTCAATCTCTTTCTAAAGGGGAAAAAAGGAATACGATATAGAAATGAATACTTTGTCTCAGAATGGATTTTCATTTATTGATAGAAATTTAAGGTCAATTTTGTGATATGTGTATTTTTCCTCTTGATCAAGTATTGTGTTTATAATGATCCTTTAAAATATAATGTATAATTAAGTACAGATTATAATAGTTATTATAGTTAGGTTAGTTAGGTTTTCTAGATATACAGAGATATATTTGAGATAGATAGCCTTCAAACCTTTCAAAGACCTTCAGAAAATGGCATTTAAAATGGTTTAGGGTTTTTCTTGACAATGAGAAATGTCTGTTCCTAGCACATCAATTACATCTGAGAGGAAGATGGGCATCAAAGAAACTTGTTATGGAGTTTGCTTTCAACATGGCAAGATTAGCCATTTGGGCAAGAAACTGCTCTTGCCTGAACTGCTTGACTGTTGCTGTATAAAATGGACATGCAGGACTCACAGGAAAGTGACTGCTGAACCTGGACAGTCCTACAGGGTTCCTGCTTTATGAAAGTCTGCCAGACATTCTGCAGGACACAGAACAATGATTGACAAACTGCTTTGCTGAGAAGTCTGCCAGGCACACTGTGGCCTATGGATTGAAGATGGATGCCCCAATGTTGCAGAGAAACTTCGGGTGACTGTCCAGGTAGCAAGATGTCGCTATCAATTCTAGTTTTATATATTATTATTCTGTAGTCTTTGATGGAGTTGGAGATAGATAGTTATAGTTTTTCTTAGTTATGATAAAAGATAAGATACATATAAGACTTTAGACTCACATGGATAGGATAGATAATAAAATACTTTCTTTAAATCTTACTGTTAATGGACAAAATATTGTAACTATAGTTCTTGCTTGATAACTGTTTTGTTATATATAATTTGACTATGTTAAAGTTAAATCCTTTCTTTTTATTTAGACAGAAAAGATTAGATGATTGGGGAAATCCTTCTGTGTATATATTTGATTGGTATAAATAAAGCACTGTTGGTCAATAGGGAAGCAAGATAGGTGGGACTAGGAATCTAGGAGAATTCTGGGAAATGTAGTGAGGTGAGTTGTCGTGATGTGATCCCTGGAGGAGAGAATGCAAATCTGGCATTCTCAGAAAGATAAGACCTTATAAAAATATATATTGGTGATTATGGGTCAATGATTAAGTCAGAGCTAGCCAATTAGATACTATAGTAAAAGGTCAACAGCTTCATAATTAAAAAAAAGTATTTTTCCGGTCCAATAGGAAGCAAAAGAGAGAATGAGTAGGCATCTTCTTAGTGGACAAATATGTTGTATTTCATACTTATGTCTATGTGGGATTAAGAAAGAAATACATAGGTAATGGCTTCAGTTTTTTAGAGTAAGTTAAATCCAACACAGTATGATTGGGGTTGAGGGTAAAGATCTGTTGCTGCTAAAACCAGTTGTATTCAGTTTAATAAAAAGTTCACAATGACCCAGCTTCTGAGTTCTTACCATTATTAGAGTTTGTATCAATTTCTAGGCATGTAGGGACTGCTGTCTAGAAATATATATTTACGATATTTCAAAGGGAATCTTTGTAAGTTTTGCTGACATGAAAAGTTTTCCAATGTTCATTTCAATTATTTATTATGCACTTATGTTAGGGAATATTAAGTTTGCAAACTATGCTGAATTATTTATATTAACAGTATTCTTCATTAAAATTTCATGAGTTCACTGAGGGACAGGACTAACTGTATATATTTTCATAAATAATAAGAAATAACAGGACAATGAATTCTGTTAAAGTATGTTAATAATATGACTGCAAATCCCTTAATTTCTTTTTCTTTCATTTTATTTCTTCTATGCTACTTGCTTTGTTTACTGAGGAACATGACCCTCCCATTCCCAAGTGTAGCACAGCTTGTTAATTTGTCCATGGAGATCTTCCTGTGATCTGCTCAGTTAATTTTCAGTGCAAAGTTCTACAAATGGCACTGAGAGGCATGTTTGAAAGAGGATCTGTAGAACTAAGTCCAGTTGATAACACAAGATTCCCAAGGAATCTAGGCATTGTTGATACATTTGCTGGGCACAACACAACTGCTGGCACCAGTTTATCTATATCTATAGTCAAGACCTTTGCAATTCTAGGACAGTGAAGATGGATAAAATGTTATAAGAGATTATAATTACTGGAAATCACTCTTGTACTTAGTTCGAATTCATACATTGGATAAGAATAGCCCTAAATAAATACATATCCACTCTCTGTCGTTAGTTCAGGCTTTCAATGTTATGTGTAGGATTATTATTGAGGAGCATTAATAGTTATATGAAGCAAAGACAGAACACCCCTAAACAAAGCAAAATACACTGTACATCGAAAGATTTTAAAAGATTCATATGCTAAGACTGGGAATTTCAGGAATATAGTCTCTTAGATATTTATTGTAATCTTCAAAAAATAAAACAAGATAAACTCAGAGAACAAACCACTTTCCATACAGAATTCACACATAAACTAGAAACCTAACAGAGCACATACCATTTTTACACAATTTCGATGATAATAATAATAATAATAATAATTTCACAATGTGAATACACTTTATAGCTTTAAACTCAGACAAGAGCTTCTGTGGACACAGGAAGAGTCACAATACTTGCTATGCAGCAGTAGTTTTCAACTAAACATCACAATCACTATAAGAAAGCATTAAATATTGTCTCAAGAAGAGTTCCACAGTGTCATCACCAAGAAGGAGACCAAAGTACCCGGCCACAAAGGAGAGTCTTTCTTTGTGCATTGTTCAATGCCCTTAAACAAAACCAGAGCTACAGAAAAATCTGAGTACATATCTACCTAGGGGAGGTTGGATTAGGCAATGTTTATGGTTTGGCTCATTGGCAAATGTCTAAATTAACGGCTCTAAAGTGACTTGAAAACAATTGGGATGTGTGGCTGAGCTGAGGCTGCTCAGTGCAGGGGAATACAATGATGTAGCAGCATGCCTTCTCTATGGAGATCAGAATGCAGAGAGCTAAACTGGGCAGTTTGTGGGTTTCAATATCTATAGTTGCTAACTCTGTTACCATTCCACTTTCAGGGAACACCCTGTGGCCTTTTGCATTGGTGTACTTGTCACAATCACCTCACTGCCGAATTCTTCATGGGATCATGACCCCACACAGGAGCCTCCCTTGACTCTTCTAGTTATTACAAGTCTCTGTTTCTTTTTTCTCACATATGCTGCCATAATCTACCACTTAGATTACACCATCTATTTTTGCCACACTTGTTCCATGTTGGATTCCCACAGTGCTGAGCACATAGCAACCAATGATCGTGTGACAACAAATGAAACATGTAAGCGCACTCACGAATTATCTGTGGTCAGCTGCCTGCTTCTACTTTTATTTTCCTTTCAATTTGGCACTAAGCCTTTGCTATCTCTATCTTTGATTCACCACTTTCACCTCACTTCTTCAGCGGGTTTTGAGAGATGAGTACAACTGCCTACCTAACATGGTTACATTTGGGCCGCATCTTGCCCACACAACTCTACATCACTTAGTATGATTGGCACTCTTCATATTGCAGCCTCTGTCCAGATGTCATAGAGAGAACAGAACGTTTACTGCGTATGGCTAGCAGTGGCACCTGGAGCCAGCTGCACTCCATGGACTGCAGTGATGAAATCATACTTCCTAAAGGGATAATGCCTCACTACATACATGAAAGACAATGAAGACTGCTAAAATTAGGCTTTACTTCAGTAATTGATAGAGCAAATAGGAAATTAAAGTTGTGATCTTGCTTAGATTTCATATACATAAATATGTTTAACTGTGATAATCCAACTACTACCTGGTACACCCCTATGAAGTTCCAGGACAGTAAGTGTTATGCTAAGCATAGAGTTTCAATGTGTATATATAAGTGTGTGTGTGTGTGTGTGCATGTATGCACATATGTCTCTCTGTGTGTAATAGCATTCAAAATGGGCTAAGGATTTTGATCAATTTTTCTTTCTTTTATATCAGCATTATGGACAACTGAGAGTTGAAGGTGGATATAACATTATCTACAAACTAAAAAAAGACACCGATAGTGCTAAGAGACCCCAAGGCTGACATTGCTGAGCTTGCAAACAAAGAGCAAGATTAAGTAACAATAAAAAATATATATATACAATACAAGAGTGGAACTTCTCCATAGGCAGAACATGTGATAAACTGTTCTGAGGAGACAAGGTGACTTCTGGTATGCAAATTGTTCTTAGGTATCTAAATTAGCTGCTGAATGCACTCTTGTATGAAGTTTAGGGACAATTCTGAACTATAGAGCTGAATACTTTTATAAAAACAAACTCACAGTCATTCTTTCTTGGAAATAAAACCCACAATTCTAAAAGGTAAAACTGGCACATGTTTTCAGATACTAAAATGCTTAGTTCATAAATGGAAAAAAGGTACTTTTAAGTAGGCACAGAGGATAGTCCCATGGTGCCAGTAAAATGCTTACTGTATAAATTGCACCACTAGACAAATACTACTAAAATAAATCATTTGCATAAGCACACTGCTATCAAAGCGGCTCACACATCCATCAAAATTCACTTTCACACTAGTTTATATACACTGAGTAAGTCATTAAATATTGCACTTATTGGCCCATGAACCCTCAATTCTGAGGTGTTGAAAAATAGAAAACAAATCTATTTTTAAAACATACTTCATGCAACATTTACGACATTTCAGTTCTACAAACACCATTAAGTAGTTGTGCATTTGGACAGTCCAATGGCACCACGTCACATCTGACATTAACAATATATTAACAGGGATTACAGGACAGTTCCCATTTATCACACTTTCTAGGCATGATGAAACAACGTGTGGAAAATCATCATATTGACACATCAGACAATGCTCAAGCTTCACTTTGACAAGTATTATGGATTCACTACTAAGACAGGTCATGCTCACATCCTTGACAGGCCAGGCAGACACTCAGCTCATGTACTATCTGTGTCTACGAGAACAGCATTCATGAATCTAAGCAATTCTTAGCCACAAATGGTAGTAATACAGTGATAGTTCCACTACATAAAAAAGCAACAGCAACTCTCAGTTGTACACAATGAAAGAAAAAGGAACATGTGGATGAAATACACAAGTAGTCCACAGGATTATTTCAGCAAGCGATAATGGATGGAAAGTCTACCAATAACAATTACCTAGGGGAAGTTAATGGCAAGACTTGGTGTCATTCTGTAAAGATAGGGCTTTGAAAATAGCCTATTTTCTTAATCTGAATGTATAAAAGGAGCATGCAATGATAAAGTCTTAATATGCCCTTAGCTACACGATCTAATCTTAATCCTTCACTCCAGGTGCCATTTTAGGTGATTTATTTCTGTTACCTCCATTGTTTGCAAAATGCACTTTCTCTCCACCCTGCCTGTGTTAGAAGTCATGGTCACAGACTGAGCACATCCACATGAAAAATCCATTTCATGGAACTTCAAAGTAAGATGTGAGTGACAGATGGTGCATAGCAAAATGCCCCCTTTCCCCTGCACAGAGTGCCACCAATGGGGATTTTCTCTTCACCAATAAACGTGTCAGTGTTTGCAAGTGTGTGATGAAAGTGGCAGTGGCATGTGTGTGTGTCCCAACAGTAAACATGTCAATAAGCTGTTATGTAGGAAGATGCTTTATGGGAGTGCCAAGCATTTCTAGAATGGTTTAAAAATACATTTGTTTATGAAATACTATAGGGAAATTTTATATAAATCCTCACAACTTATCCCCTGCCCCCTTAGGGGATACTATATGTCTAGAATCTAGAGCACTTTAGGTGAAGTATAGAGGCAAAGACTTTTTCCCTGTCTGTTCATAAAATATATCCAAATTTATCTTTTACCTAATTTGTCCTAATTAAACTTGAAGGTGTAAAATTAGGTTTATGTCTTAACTGGTTTCTAGAAAAAAAATCACATAAAATATAAGTAACTCCAAAAAACTGGTTTGAATATTCAAATGTTTAGCATACCAAGGAGTTTTCTCCATTACACTGACAGGCAACTAAAGTGCAGGGCTGTGGACACTGAGCCATTGAGAGAGAGTAGAGAGGCCTTCTGGGTGTAGTACTCACGAGCACCCTGACGTACCACACTGAGGGTGCACACAAACAAAGTTCCCAGGGTCTGTCATGAAGACTAAAATTTAGACAAAGACAGTTGCCCAGACAGATGGGCCATCTTGCAAGCACATCAAAAAATATCTGATTGAACATCCCAACATTACGATGTAGATTAGCAACAAACATTAGCTTTTTGGTCTGACATAGTTTCAGTCATGTTTTTTAAGATCATTCATGTAACCATTTTTCACACGCAGCTGACATCTCGGCATGGTGAAATTTGATAGAGTTTAGATACATTTCCATGCAGTCCCCAAAATGCCATACAAGTAACTAGTAAACCAAGGATAAACTTAGCCAGCCACTAAGATAAAGCAAGTCAATGAACCACTATGAAGATCAACACTGAAGTTAATGCTGCTTAATGGAAGTTCCACTAATAGTGGAGTGTATTCTACTTTAAAAGTATTGTTGTCACAGACATAATTGAAATTTGAAGCTTAAGTTGGCACCTGGAAAAATGATAAATGTGCTGAATGAATCTGGATAACCGTGAAGTAAGTGAAAAAATGCATTTCTAATTGAGCACACTGACGTCTTGCATAACTTCAGTTGCAATTTTGTAGGATTTATATTTCACATTTATCAGTAAAACTTCATTTGTCTGGCAGCGAGCAATACTAAATGTTAAGTGGTTCCAAGAAGGAACTTCAAAAACCTGTTGCCCTTTTATAGTCTTAGAAGCTCATAATGGCAGTTGATGCTGTTAGGCGGGGGAAACAACAGGTAACAGGGTCATTGTTCTAAAGCAGTCCTTCCTTTGAGCCCATGGAAATGATTAGCTTGCCTTCTTCGGACTGGGGACATCTCATGAACCTCCCACATCCATTCACAGAAGTGGCATCTTAAGGTACATTAAGAAAGGAAAGGGATGAACCTATATCAGAGCTCTTTAGTGTGTTTTCATGAAGCAGGGAGGTTCAGTTCTAAAAGTAGTTACATGGGCAAGGATGCCAAGGTGACCACAGCAGAATGGAAGGACACACTTAAAATACTAACCTAACTGCATCAGAGACAATAAGAAATGATGTCTAAAACCTACAAACACATTTTTCAACGTCGTGTTTTTAACATCTATTTGTTTTTAAACAGATAACATTTGCTTTTAAATATTATTTAAGGTACAAACTGAACCAGGTCATTAGTCAGAAGGGCCTATTCATATTTAGGCTGACAGCAGGAGATGTAGTGTGTATTTGTACATATGTACATTGTAGCCAAAGGTTGAAAAAAACCTCAGGATTATAGTGTTAGAATTATAAGCTATACAGCTCAAGGCTAATAGATGATCAATTATCTGGTTAACATTTGCCAAATTTAATTTTACAGCCAAGACATATTGATGGCATTAGGAACAGTGGTTCTTTCTTCTGGCATCACAGCAAGAACACAGGCAGCCTTCTCTTTTATCTTAGTGACAAGTCTCTCTTGAAATATTTACTGAATTATTTGGAATGAAATACATAGCAGGGTGAGAATTTCATAACTTAAAATCAATCGGGAAGACTGTTTCCATGGGAGTTTGGGAAATAGGAGACACGGCATATTCTGGAGGCAAGGACACTAGGGTTACTGCTGGCCCTTTGTCCATTGACTAGCTAGAACATAATGATCTAACTTTAGAGTTCCTGACAGAGAGTATGAGTGGACACTTGGCTTAGGTCAGTCAATCTTAAGGAGTTCTTCTGGGAATTTTCAAATGAGCAAATGTGATAGTTTCCCTTTCTCTCTTACCTGTTCTCAAATTATAACACACACAATACCCGTCTTAAGAAGCCATTTAAAGTACCCAAATGAGGCCTTTTACACTCTTTGTATACATGCAAGAAAGGAGGCCCAGACTTCCTGGCTTCACTGTTTGATAGTAAAAATGAGTTTGACAGCTGCAGTATTCAACATGGCCACATTCTGGCTCAGGTCATAGAAAAGGACAATGCCATGTCAATACGTGACTATGGCAAAGAAATTCTACTTTATGCCCCTGGCTTCTCTCTTTCCCTTCACAGTAATTTCTATGTTTTTTTAAATCTAGGTATCATTAAAATGTAGGAAGGCATTAGTACTCCTCTGGGTGTCAAAGTGGAAACTTACCACTAATTTCTAAGTTTGAAACTAAACAGACTAAAAGAAACCATGCACATACTAGCTTGTCAATAGCCTTGCTCGGCAAGCTTGCATTAAATATCTTCAGAAGATCCTAACTGTAGATACTTCTGAAAGGTAAAGATTTGCTCTGAGCTAGGGACACAGGGAGAGATTTGTTGGTGGTATATCACTTCTATATGGTCTTAGGAAACCTAGAAGAAAAGACTAGATGTTCAAGTGTCCCCTCCCTCTCTCCAGCTGCCATGGAGCTTCAATTTTCTGTCCCACTCAGCTCTGGAATCTTTCATGTAACTTGAGCATGTTTAGAGGTTTATATGATGAGAGCATGCTTTAGAATTCTAAATCCTCTAAAAAACATGGCAATAAAAATGATCATTTCCTCAGTGTGGGACTCATGGAAAGGTTACCCAGTTGCTTTCTACATAGATGGAAAAGCTTGACTGAAGTTAGAGCAGAGATCAGTGGTTGGGAAGGTGGCTTACCTTTCCTGAGAAGAGGGGTACTGGCAGAGCATCAAGCCAGTCTCTCTTTCAGAATTGGTACTGGCCCCAGGGAGCCATGGTGCTGTGTTGTGGGGTGGCATGGGTCATTAAGTGATGCAGGCTACCCAGGCCATGGATTTCTATGGCTCCTCATAGCGCTCCTGGTCGCTGCACTTCTTGCATAACTGGCATTAAGTAGAAACCCCCTCATGGGTCATTGCTCTCACATAGGCAGGCATGGGCAGAATCAGTGGGAAGCTGAGTCCTGCAGCATGGTACACAGACCTCAATTGCTCTTTGTCTGGATCTAGTCACGTTAATATTACTGACTTGGAAAATTCGCAAGGGCCTTAAAAACATTTCAATTTCATTCTTTTTTCTACTTTTTTTTCCATGATAAGAGTTTTGTGGTTTGTAGCTCAGGCCCACTTTAACTTGTCCTTCTTCCTCAGGCTCCCAAGTGTCACTGCACCCATCCTTTCAATTTTTTAAGAGTCAATGCACCCTTCAATTATTATTAGTGAAAGTGCAATATACATTTCCTAATAGTAGACTGTCCAGACCTCTGATAGGGTCTCCAATCAAGAGCAAAAGTCCCACTTCCTTTTCAGCCAAACTAAGTTTCCTGACATCTCCTGCTGCTCACAGCACACACACACACACACACACACACACACACACACACACACACACACACACACACGGTCCCTAGGTCATCACCCATACAAGTGAGAAGCGTGATTTGAATCCATGGCACAAAAGTCATTTGCAATGAAATTGTAGTCTGAGGTTTCAGCAATTGCTTAATTGAGAAAAAAAATTGCAAAAACAGAAATTCTGAAAGACAAATAAATAAGTTACATGCAAGTACTGGGTGTTTATAGATGAACGATCCTTACAAATGTAAGATCGTGCTTGCCACATAATAACACAGGAAATTGCTCAAGGTTTGAATGCATATATGGGCCACTGACATCAAAGACTTCCTTCAAATAATTATTAGGCAGTATAAGTGAAGGCTACAAGACCATTTATAAACGCTATTTCTTGGCCGCTCTGGAGTCATGTGGAGCTCCCGTGTGGGAGACATTAGCAGCCACAGTTGGGCTGCGGTGGGGGAGGAGTTTCCTTGAGTCTCGTGCTCTGCTTTGCCGCGGTGATGGCTGGGTCGGTCTCCATGCTCTCTGACATTTTGTCACAGATGATATCCACAAGGCGCTCAAAGGTTTGCTTCACGTTGATATTATCCTTGGCGCTGGTTTCGAAGAACTCAAACCCTGGAGGAAACGCAGAAACAGCTCCGTCATTTTACGTTTCTGAAGTTCAGGGGACTCAGCCACGGTTTTCAGTGTTGATGAGGGGATGATGATGGGGCGGGGAGGTGCGGTGGTTTAGATCAAGGCGGCAGCTGGGCATGGAGTGATACCTGCCTAGCTGACCATGGACAGCGGGACTGATAATGCTCATCCGGATGCTCATCCCGTTTGTTTCTACTGAGGCATTTATGCTACCAGCAAGGGCAAAGAGAGTTTATGAAAGGATCTCAAGAGTCAATAACAGTACCATGAAGGAACTCAAGAGTGTCATTAAGAACAGAACGGTTGCCCGTGCGGGGTTGGCCCATACCTTTAATCCCAGAGCTCAGGAGGCGGATCTCAGTGAGTTCGAGGCCAGCCTGGTCTACAAGAGCTAGTTCTAGGACAGCCAGAACTGTTACACAGAGAAACCCTGTCTTGAAAAACAAAAACAAAAAACAAAAACAAAACAAAAGAACCCATGTGTGATCGTGGTTGTCAACTGGGGTGGATTAGGAACAAACTAGATGGTGAGACTAGATGGTGAGAACTCTCACTTAATGAACCAGCCCCTTGATGGAGTTATTGTGAGGTGGTGAAGGGTACAGGAGGGGTTGAGTTGTTGTGAATCGGTTATGGGGGGTGTCCTTGGGTACTGCATTTTCCCAGTTACCCTGTGCTGTGTTCCGGCCACCACAGTGTGGATTGCTCTGCTCAGCCACAGACTGACTCTTCAGGAAAGATGGTGCCATACAACTCCTTCCTCCTTTAGGTGCTTTTGTCTGGCCACCATGTAGCACTTACAGTCTTTTCTAAACCAGATTTTGACTTTCATTTTTTTCCTCATTTCTGCATTTTCTCAGTTATTAGCTTTCCTTTTTTTCCCTTTCTTTTTAATGAAAGGTTTAGAAAAGACACCGTGCATATTCTATCGAGAGGACTGTGAGGTTGCCATACAATCATGTTCTAACTTTTTTCCTGTCTGTCCAGTGGCTGCCCGATCATGGGTCTAAGGATAGGCTTCATGTACAGTGTCTAACAGGCCACGAGGTGGCGCTAAAGAGTCACAGGAATTACCTTAGGCCTGTTTCAACATCTGGAGTTATGAGCTGGGTGACAGACCTGCAGATCTTTGTAATGCTGCTACAACTTCCCAACAGTCTGGTGGGGCTGACTGCTCCCTCACCTGCCTGTCTATGACAGTAAAGTTTTTGAGTCAATGGGAAAGGAAACAAAACATTTTATTTCGGAAAGAGCAGCAAAACTGCCTGAGGACAGTAACTGAGGGTTCTAAGTCCTAATTCCCAGATGTGCCTGGCTGGAAGCAGCCTCAGCAGGCAGTTCTGCACACAATGCTATCGTTCCATTGTTTACATTCTCGTTCCACTGGCTGTGCTTGCCAGTCAGTTGCCATGGCAACTTCCCCACTTGGTCAGCCAGAGATTGGCCTGGTCCGCTGGGGGGATGTTGATTTAGGAGGTGTTGGGCAGAGCACAGAAAGCCTTTTCTAATCCATTCTCAATTTTACACCCTATAAATCCTTCTGGTTACATCTGGTCCTATCTCAGAGGAGACACAAAGGTTCAAAATGATTAAATCCAGTGATTTATTTATTATTATTTTTTAATGCCTGGCTTCTGGGATCAAAATGAAAAGAATAGCCTAATACATGCATCTATGTCCAAATCCCCCTGATAACTAAAAACCATGCTTATTTTCTTAAAAAGAGAATTGAAAGAGAAAATAAATGATAGCGTTTTCATTTCTACTCTGATAAGATCCGAGGGAGTTATTGCAAGACTCAGGAGGTCAATCATCACTAGAGTTAGGTTCTAGGAAACAGTGCAAGGTATTTCAGTCCGTCTTTGGCTTCCATTTCTGTGTTGTTGTTTTAATGCCTGCACCATGATCATGTCATTCTCTTACAGTGGATGTTTCTTCATGTATAGACAAGGTCAGGTGGAGTGGGCAGTGCTGAATTCTCTAACGTGAGCACAGTCTCTAGGGCTGGATCATTCACTTTCTTGCTGAATACTGACCAAGGCAGGGCAGGCACCCTCTGAACAAAGTCATTGCCTAATTACCAGAGCTATTTTGCCTGTTATTTTCTAGGTGCTGGTGGTCTTGTCCCAGGACCAATGGAGACGAACATCATTTCAGAATGTTCCAATAGATCTTTGGATGAAACTTTGGAGGAAAAGTAATTCTGAATTTGGGACAAAGCCTGGACAGTTAGTTTCAGTTCTATCGTCATATCAGCCAGCACTTCTGTTGCATGTTAGTGTGATTGGAAAAGTGCCAGACTTAAGTACCCAGCCATTGCTGAAAGATGTGGGTTCACAGCCCCCTCCCTCTGTCAAATGCACTAGTTACCTCATGCTGCTGCTGTGTAAGTTGGGCACAGTAACATGATCTCTGATCACAAAATCAAAAATGTCCTGAGCTCCTCGGATCCTGGGAATACACTGTTACTCAGGACTAAGTGTCTAGGAGACTTGCACAATATGACAATACTCATCTCTCCAGTATGGCAAAGAGGCCATAATATGATGAAAGTGTGGGGACTACCAAGTACCTTGGCAACGCACTGTCAACATGCTAGGTTTCTTTCTTTCTTTTTTTTTGGTTTTTCGAGACAGAGTTTCTCTATGGCTTTGGAGGCTGTCTTGGAACTAGCTCTTGTAGACCAGGCTGGCCTCGAACTCACAGAGATCCACCTGCCTCTGCCTCCCGAGTGCTGGGATTAAAGGCGTGCGCCACCAACGCCCGGCGGTTTCTTTCTTTTTTAACCTTCATTGTTTTCACATTTATTTATTGTATGTGGTCATGTATATCTGTGAGTGTGCATGCATGTAGCATATGTGCAGACTGCAGATGACAACAAGCAAGAATCTGTTCTCTCCTTCCAGGTGGGTCTGGGGATTGAACTCATGCCACCATGTTTGGCCGCAAATTCCTTCATGCACTGATCCACCTTGCTGGTCTGGCATACTAGATCTGATACTATTAGCAAATTATGGGTTTGATGCTCACTCTCGCGATTTATGATATTTGCTTTGCCTGCCTCACAGCATCATTATGACTCTCAAATGGGAAAATGTGGGTGAAGGTGCCAAACAAGCTGGTAAGTGTGAGGACAGCAGGGCTGGTGACAACAGAACTGACTTTTGTCTAGTGGTTAGCATATCACAGAGCATATTGCTAACACTTGGAATATTTCTAACTCATTTCATCCATGAGGTGGCACCATTAATTTTTCTAGTTTTCTGGTTAAGGAATGAAAGACCCAAATGGATGACTGATTTGTTTAAACATTCCCTTGGTTGGCTGGCAAATGGTCGAGGGAGAGTATCAGTTAGCCACCTACAGACTTCCCTGCCTTTCCGTGTGCCCTGAAAGAGGGAACTATTATTTTGTTGCTGTTAAATGATCAGTTCCAGGATAATTAGTCATTTGCATACGCTTTCATTAATTTAAATAATTTGAAGGTGATTAAGTGGACCTAAGAGTGTCATCAAACCAAACAGTACATTCTCTTAACAATTTAAAATGCCCGATGAGATTGTGGAAGCCACATCTCCTTATGGGCTAGAGACACACAGCTACAAAAGGTTCTGAAGATGAAATTGCTTTTCAGTGACCAGCAGCACAAGTCTACCATAAAGCATGATGTTTAAACAGTGGGAGCTCAAGATCAAAATCACAGCTTTTAGTACTTTGCTATTGATCCAGGGGAAATGGGGGTTTATGAAGCAGCCCAGACTTCTGTGTCCATTTGAATCACAAAGGTGAGACCGCTGTGTGAGGAGGCACTCATGTCCCCACCCATGTCCAAGCATGTTTACCAGTACATCCCACCTCATCACTATGATTATATACATGGGATCCTTTATTCTTCTAAAAGCCCCATGGACTCTGTGGTTTAACCCCCCAGTATCTTGGTAATTTTTACCTCAGCTACCTCAACATAACAGCTTGTTCTCAGAAGCCTTTACCCACCAAGATCATCAGAAGTCACACATCAGTCAAGAAAGCCACGCTAAGGGTCTTAGAAAACCCCGAAGATTGCTTCCAATTTACTGCCATGGAAATTGCTGTTCATCACGACCCAGTAAGGAGACTAAGGTAACACAGGAAGCCTGGCAGGTTACCCGACAAGGCTACCATTTTAGCGTCTTGCCCTGGACACCTGCCCTGTATGCTGCGTGCTCTACAATTAGTAACTTTAACACTGTGTGTCCTCATCAGCTGAGCAGTAGACACTCTCAATGAAGCACCGGGGAGCTGGCCACGCTTTCCCATTCTTTCTGTAGAAGAACATTCCCAACTGCTCTCTTGCAGAGGCAGCATTGCTCCAAATACAGAAGAGCCTGCACCCCAACCAGCACATTCCTGCCTTGGGGTTCTGGGCCTGACCTAGAAAGAACAGCTCTTGACATTTCTAGAGCCCACGATGGGCATACCCAGACACTCATTAAGTCCAACCCATTTGCTGTGGCCTCTGCACAAATGAAAGAGCAGCCATCTAGCTAGAAGGACACTGTTGGCGAGCAGGGACATCACAAAGCCTGAGCCTTGTGACTAGTGACAAAGGCCTGGCTTGCCGCCATGGTTTTCTACCCTTTTCCTTGAAGGTCTATGGGGCAAAGCTCCGAGAAGCCTAGTAAGTTTTCAGCAAGCAGGTCCATAAGTACTCAGGGAGGGGACAGGCTGTCACTCAGTCATGAGCAGCACTGAAATGTCACAGCCCCCTACTGTGATTGGCCCATGTTAGCCAATGTAATGTAATGATCACAGTTCCAAGATTGAACGTTGAAGCATTTCTTTCTCAGACCCTTTGTCCAGGGAATTTATTTAGTTTTGTAGCTGATGCTAAATTTCTCTCATGTTAATAGTTACGCCACATAGTAAAACTCCATGTTCACTACAGCAGGGTTTTATGTCCTGACCACTATTTGGGCTCTCTGACCTTTTAGATTTCA